GGAATGATGAAATGTTGTAAGAGCCAGGCCACAAATTGACTGTAGATGACCTTGAGATTAAGGCACGCTCTAGGCATTTACATCGTTGTGAATCATTTTACACCTTTGATCAGAGTAGCATCTTTTATGTCAAATTTGTGGTCAGTCTCGTTACGGTGGGAAACCAATGCATTTGATGTATTACTTTGTAAAATGACCCGTTTGTGTCCATATAATCTTTTATTTAGAATCCTTGCGGTTTCTCTTATGTAGCTTTAGTATATAATATATTAGTATATATATATATATATATATATACATATATACACAATTATAGATAACTATACTCGTTTCGAAAAACCCTCGAATTTTGATTTGCCAATAAACAAATCAATCTCGAGGGAAAAAAAGGTTTTAAAAAAAGAAAGAGCTACAAACATGAAAGTCTGTCGAAATCGCACAGATACAGGTTTGAAGCCCAAAGAAAAACCCCCGATAGGAGTAAAGAACTAACTAACAAAAGAGCTCAATACAAACGTAGAGCCGACCTAGATACACCTAGTGAGGTGTATCTATCTATCTATATATAGATATATATATATGTGTGTGTGTGTGTGTCAGTGTGTGTGTGTGTCTGTGTGTGTGTGTGTGTATTTTTGTGTATGTATGTATAATAATTATTTAAAAATTATAACATATGTATGTTATAACCTCACTACAAAAATAGCCATCTTGTTTCAACACTTCGGGTGTCTTGTCAAGTGATGGTGTTCCAAGCAAAATAAAGAGTTCAAAAACTAACCATTACTCCCACTAGAGGGAAAAATTATTACGTAAAATATAGTAACCAATCAAATTACAAGCATATGATAATTCAAATAACTTATTATTTATTTGTTTATATTTTTATTAATGCTTTAAAATACGTATTAGATTTTATGGGAAATCAGGATAAACATTTAATCGACAATCTTTTGTAATTAAAAATTAAATTTACGCATATTAAGCTCTAAATGAAACCATGCATCATGTTTAGAAATTAACAAAAATATTCATAGAAAAAACGGAGAAAATGTGTGTAAACTTTCATGTATTGTTCTTAGAAATGGGTTAAATTTTTCGCCCGATGTGTTATAATTAAATATTAATTAAATATTATTCGCTCTACTCTGTATTTAAAAAAAAATATTGTTTTTTGTTACTGGAAGTTTATTCCATCTACACCAACCTTGTATACATATATATATATATATATATATATATAATTCATGAATCATTCATACAAAAAACAAATATAGAGGTTAATGATTTAAATGGCGAGAATACATCGTCGCAAAGGTCTTTTGCATCATAAAAAGACCTTATGCAACTGGAATTTATAAACAGGGATCATATCATTCATATACAGGTTCGGGGTTGGTGTATATTATTTATATTGTTTGCGACGATGTATTCTCGCCATTTAAATCATTAACCTCTATATTTGTTTTTTGTATGAATGATTCATGAATTTATAAATTATAATGGCACCTTTAATATATATATATATATATATATATATATATATATATTTCATACGTTATTTTATAGATAGAATTTAAATAAATGGTCTGTTTTTAATTGAGTAATATTACATTTACCGGCCTGAATGTCCGAAAAATTTCGTAGAAATTATGCGTTCGCCGAATGGAATCAACTACCATTCCTATACAGAAAACGTTATTTGCGCATAATTGTCAGACTTAATATATATATATATATATATATATATATATATATATATATATATATATATATATATATATATATATATCATACATTTTAGCCAGCTTCATTGCCGCCCATGACCCAGAAAGATGACAAGACATTTTTACTATTTTTTCAGTGCAGTAGAACGTATTGGTCATCATCGATTACGTTGTTGTCCACAGTGTCATTTTATTCTTCTTACTCAATAAAAAAAAAAAAAAAGGATGTCATTTTCAATTCTTTGTTTATCCTGTTTTGTGCTTATGTTCGCCGCAATCTTGTTGCATTTGTGTGAACATCCCCCTCCTTTTGCTTTAGATACTGTGTAAATTTGATCTTTCAAAACATAAACTCAATATATTCTTATCTTTTGTCGATACGAACAGAACAAAAAAGTTAAACGAATGATAAGTTTAGCTTTCGATATCAACCAAGAAGAGAATAATAGTTCGTAAATAATACAAGAATATTGGCAATTATCAATGTCGACAAAAATCCCATATTGGCCAATCAATGTATACCTGATGATGACCAGAGAGTACTCGGTTGAAATGTGTCTATAATAAAATCTATATCAACCAAGATTTGAACAATCATTCGAAATAATACAAGAAGAGAATAACTCATTTCAGAATGAAAAACTAAATTATGAAAAGCAATACGAACCCGCCATCATAAGCAAATCCATCTGACATTGAATATATAAAAAAAGGCTTCAAAAACACACCACTAATGTTCTTGCGGACGGTGGCATAGTAGATATAGTCTTTTGTTATATATGTGTTACTGTCATCTAGTTCAATCCTTGGATTTGTTAGTGACGGACCAATTCAGCAGGAACTAAAATTAACTGATATTACAGGGACAAAATATCACAATAACCAACACATATCCAATATCAGCCAATCAGTAGACAACTGATCACAGCCAGAGGTTATTTGGTCGAAACGTTGTGTCTATAATAAAATCTATATCAACCAAGATGAGAACAATAAAGCGAAATAATACAAGAATATTGACAATTATTCATCTCGAAAAATCCAATATCAGCCAATCAATGGACGCCTGATGATGACCAGAAGGTATTTGGTCGAAACGTTCTGTCTATAATAAAATCTATATCAAACAAGATGAGAACAATAAAGCGAAATAATACAAGAATATTGACATTTACTCATCTTGAAAAAATCCAATATCAGCCAATCAATAGACACACTGATCACGACCAGATGGTATTTGGTCGAAACGTTGTGTCTATAATAAAATCTATATCAACCAAGATGAGAACAATAAAGCGAAATAATACAAGAATACTGACAATTATTCATCTCGAAAAATCCAATATCAGCCAATCAATGGACGCCTGATGATGACCAGAGGGTATTTGGTCGAAACGTTCTGTCTATAATAAAATCTATATCAAACAAGATGAGAACAATAGAACGAAATAATACAAGAATATTGACGCGATTCGTGTTTTGGCGGGATGTCCGTATTTCCACTAATGTCCCTCGGAACCGTGGCGTAGTGGAAATTGGTTGTATATGTAATACTGTTATCTAGTGGTTATGAGTTCAATCCTTGGATTGGTTAGTGACACACCAATTCAGCAGGATCGAACAATAACTGATATTAAAAGGACAAAATATCCCAATATATCAACAGATATCACATATCAGCCAATCAATAGACGCCTGATGATGACCAGAGGATACTTGGTCGAAACGTTTTGTCTATAATAACGTCTATATCAACTAAAATGAGAACTTTCTGCCGTGTCCTTTTAGGGCGTAGGCGATCATGGCTCTCCACCTTTCTCTAGCCCTTGCAGCTCTCATCAAGTTCCTTCTCTCTGCTTCCTCCCCTAGACCACGTTCTGTCATCCACTTGCTTAAGCCGGCTAGGTATGTCATGCGTTGTTTTCCCTTGTCTCTATTTCCCTCTATTCGACTCGTGAGTATCAGATTCTCCAGGCCCTCCTTCCTCATTATGTGTTCCAGGAACTTCAGCTGCCTCTTCCTGGTGTTAAGTATGTCTCCTCACTGTTTGCATCCTCTCTAAGACCTCATCGTTGTTCACACGCTCAGTCCATGATATCCTTAGCATCCTTCTGTAGAACCACATCTCCGTTGCCTCGAGTCTCTTCTTCATTTTTGAAGAATTCGTACAACATTCGCTGCCGTAAAGGAGGACATATGTCACGTAAGAATTCAGTATTCTTTTCTTTGTTACCAAAGAAATCCTCCTGTCTCGTTATACTCTGCCCAGTTTTTGGAGCAGTTCAAAATAATACAAGAATATTGACAATTACTCACCTGAGAAGTGAAATACTAAATTATAAATTTAGCTGTTATAAATTCTAAAATATTACAGGAGAGATTTTTTTTCTAGAATTTCATAGGCCAAAGTTAGCCTTTCGTGTTATACACGAGTGCGTATTATAAAGGAATAATTACATTATATATGCGCAACCCACGGCTCCGTTCTGTGAGTCCGAATGCGCAAATGTGTGAGTAAATTACGTGGTGATTGTATGAATCATCGTCCAACTCACTGAACTGGAAAGTGAAAAACTTCACACAAAAAGAATTAATCAGTCAACCTTAAAACTGCAATGTTTTTTTTTTTATTCATTTGTACCCTACTGATGGCATTTTTTTTCGTTCATTTTGTTTGTCTTATTGACATACCAACATAGAGCAAAGCAACACAGAGAAATAAAAGAGTAAAAAATTAATGTACTTTTCACTGAATCGCAAACGTGTCACGTTGTATATTTAACGAGAAACACAAACACTTTATTGGTAAGTCGAACATGATATATCAGGGCCGATGCAAGGGTCACGTGCCACCCCGATTTTATGATACAGAGACCCCCCCACCACTCTATTGATCTCAATTTTCATAAGGTAGTATTCATATAAAATTAAGAAGAGATATTGTAACCTAATTATAATCAACTATTCTGTTTCGATCGCGAGGGAAAAAAAACAAAAAAAAACATATAAGATCGTCGATTGATTGACTCGTTTTTTTATTGCTTATCGACCCTTTACAAGTTATTTAAAGCCAGAAAATATTTTTTAGATTGTAACAATTTCTTTATTTTTATTTTTTTGGGGGGCGGGGAAAATAAAAATGATTTGCAAATTAGCCCATAGCTGGGGGAGGAAAAGGCGGATTAAATTTCTTTCTGAAGGGTATTTGCGTGTAAGTAAACATAACGAACCCAACTAGAATTCTGAACCATTATGGCACCCGCGCATCCAAGTTTACAGCATCTGGTATTTCCAAGCGGTCACCCATCTTGGTACGGACCAAGCTCGATGTTGCTTAACTTCGGTGATTGTACGGGAACCGGTGTTTCAAGGTTTCTCACCATCTGGTATAGAGCTCGTGTGAATATAAGTGGACAATGATGTCAATACCAAGCGGCGACCATCTGTTTCTTGCGTGAATACAATCATCAGGCCATGTGTGTTGCGCGTTGGCTTGACTACATATGCTGGACAATAGTGCATTATGGGTAGCAAGGTCTATTGTATTATCCTAGTGGTTATAGTGTTTGGTCGTAACGGTTATATTTCTAATTATTCTAGATGCTTTTGAGTAGAAATAGTTGTGGATTTCAATGCGGTTATTTGTAAACTATTTATATTGTTCGGACTATTATCCTCATCTTTGTTGATATATTTATCACAACGTTTCGGCCTTTGTACGCTCTGGCCTTCTTCAGGTGGTTGGAATGTCGAACTGAACTCTTTATTTCACTCACTGGGGTAGACTGTTCTAGTTCCACGTGCCATGCCTAATGGATGTCAGTTATCAGTTATCTCTTGTTAATTCCCATCTCCAAGTTCTTCACCGCCTTAACCAGGGCACATGGCACAGTGGATAAAGGCATTAGTTAAATCCAGTGACAGGACTCAATGAGTGTGAGTTCAGTGCCTGGTTAAGGCGATGGATAAATTGTCGTCTAAATGACTCAAAAATGTAAATAACACTGGCATCTCATTTTAGCAGAAATACAGGGTGCGATAGATAAATTGTTGTTTAAATGACGGAGAAATGAAAATAACACTGACATCTCATTTTAACAGATATACAGGGTGCGATGGATAAATTGTCGTCTAAAATGACGCAGAAATGATAATAACACTGACATCTCATTTTAACAGATATATCTTCCAAAATTGCACAAAAAGTTACTTTATACATGTTTGTTGCTTGTTTTGTAGCAGAAAAAAAAACACAATTTACACATAGAGATAACTAATTAAAGCCAAATTTATATAATTATTAGAAAGCATATGTCCCTAACTACACATCAATTTTCGTCTCGCTACACACGCGTCGCCCTCTACTCAAAACAAATTTTAAAACAAAATCAAATATGCCAGGGTGCCGGCCATTATAGACGTGAATCGCTTGACACAGATGTCTACAACTACGTCCGTGCGTTTTCCTTATATAGGCTACAAGAGAAACCGGACAGGGCAGAGAGAGAGAGAGAGAGAGAGAGAGAGAGACACACACACACACACACACACACACACACACACACACACACACGCACACACGCGCACACACACACACACACAAACTAACCAGAGAGCATGACTGACTGCCCGTCCGATCATTAGGCTGTGGAAACTAATTCCTGGGAACACAGAGAGAGAACGGACTTTACTCTCAAAGGCGACAAGCCCAAAGCGGTAGCCAACAAGCAGTCAGCCGGGTTAAGCATTCTTCTTTTTTTACACTCTCATTTCACACCTCATACACCGTACATTCGGACGCTATACTACACAACTTACGAGAGACATTTTCATATCTTGTAAATGAAAATAAATCTTTGGTCATTTCTCCAAAACACAGTCTAATTTATTTCTTTACTCCAACCAACTTCCACCTCGGATCAGTTTCATTTTTCCTCACCCTGGTTTCTTCTTCCAACCACTTCTGCTTTGGTTCACTTCGACTTGATAAACAGCTGGAATTGACGCCCGTTTTTCGCTGTCAGACGAGCCGCCATATTACTGGGAAGAGATCTCGAGTTTACATAAACGCTTACTAAGGTACAATTTATTTAAATAAATGAATAAAAGCTGATGTATACTTGAGATCCTGAAATCAAATCGTTTCATACACTCCAAACGCTGAAATTCAATCAGTGCGGGTAAACAAACACAAGATGTAAACAATAAACAAAGTAAAAGACACACTCGAACGTTCTGTCGTTTTAATATTAACAGTCGGCTGATTTTTTTTTTTTTTTTTTTCCGATGCTCATGAATATTTTTATTGAAAATATTTGAGCTGGGTTGGGTTAGTCGATTTGATAACATGTCAACCCTTGATGGGTTATTTAATGTCGAAATCAGTTTTTTTTATGATTATATTTGAGGCCATAAATATTTACTTGCTTCAGGGATAGGTCGTTTATGTGTAAATCAAAAAGAAAATTTGCTAAGTTCAGGGATAGGTAAATATAGGTGGTATATATTTGAGTCTGTAAGCAATTACTTTGTTCTGTGATAGGGTGATACTGTTCGTTTTTATTTGAATTTATAAGTATTTACATGGTCCGGGAATAGATAAATATTAGTCGTTTATACTTGAGTCTGTCAGCATCTATTAGGTTCTTGGTCTTAATAAGAATTTCTTTGGTTCCCGCACATTTTAATATTTTCTATTTTTTGTTTAAGTCTAATATTCAAATGTTCTAGATTCTAGTATAGGTAAATTTTCGTCTATAATATTTGAATCTCTCAGTATTTGTCTGAATCGGAGTTAAGTAAATATTGGTCGTTAAGACTTGAGCCTGTAAGCATTTACTTGGTTCAAGTATAGATAAATATTGGTCATTTATATTTGAGCCTGTACGGATCATTTATAATTTAGTCTGTAAGCATTTACTTGGTACCTAGATAGCTAAATATTTGTCGTTTATATTTCAGTCTCTAAGGATTTACTTGGATCGAGGACAGATAAATGTTGGTCATTTATATGTGAGTCTGTAAGCATTTACTTGATTCCCGGATAGATAAATGTTGGTCATTTATATGTGAGTCTGTAAGCATTTACTTGATTCCTGGATAGATAAATGTTGGTCATTTATTTGAGTCTGTAAGCATTTACTTGATTCCTGGATTGTTAAATCTTGGTCATTTATATTTGAGTCTGTAAGCATTTACTTGATTCCCGGATAGGTAAATATTGGTCATTTATATTTGAGTCCGTAAGCATTTACTTGATTCCCGAATAGGTAAATATTGGTCATTTATATGTGAGTCTTAAGCATTTACTTGATTCCCGAATAGGTAAATATTGGTCATTTATATTTGAGTCTGTAAGCATTTACTTGATTCCCGGATAGATAAATGTTGGTCATTTATATGTGAGTCTGTAAGCATTTACTTGATTCCTGGATTGTTAAATCTTGGTCAAGTATATTTGAGCCTGTAAGCATTTACTTGATTCCCGGATAGGTAAATCTTGGTCATTTATATTTGAGTCCGTAAGCGTTTACTTGATTCCCGGATAGGTAGATATTGGTCATTTATATGTGAGTCCTTAAGCATTTACTTGATTCCCGAATAGGTAAATATTGGTCATTTATATGTGAGTCTGTAAGCATTTACTTGATTCCCGGATAGGTAAATATTGGTCATTTATATTTGAGCCTGTAAGATTTACTTGATTCCCGGATAGGTAAATCTTGGTCATTTATATTTGAGTCTGTAAGCATTTACTTGATTCTGGGATAGACAAATATGAGTCGTTTATATCACAGAGTTGCTGACTCGATAAAAACTCCTAGCATATCTGAGTTTCCCGTGGGGGAGGGGATGCATAGGTTCATGATAGCGCACGCTGATTGCAATTCTTATTGTGTGAGTTTTGCATTCTGTTGCAGACACAGAATGTGGTTAAAAGTAGATGATGATTGGTGCCGAATTTTCCTTGTGTTAGCATAAAAAGTTTTCTATGGATGACGGCATGCTTTTGGTGACAGAATCAGTTTTTCATGAGATGTTATTCCAATTTTTTTTCCTGTCATTTGTTGTTCACACAACAGCAGCTGTTTCCTAAAGCCAATCTGGGAAAAATTGAGATCTTTTTCTCTCTTTTAATAGTTTATTGCAAATTAATGAATGTTGCATTCACTTTTCTGCAACCGTAATAATTTGTATATGTTTAAAAATGGTTCCAACAAGCGTGACTCATGCAAGAATTCATTAATGTTAATATCTAATTTATTGCAGTTGCAATCACGAGCACAATTCTTAAAGAGTACTAATACGTCTATATGTTAAACAAAACTAAGCTTAGCTTGGCACAAGGCTACTTTTTTTGAGCTTCTGACCATATGTTGCTTGTGAGGCTTGTTTGTTAACACTTTGAATAAGAATCATATGAAGAAATATTGTAGAGTAAAGAAATTTCATTCTTAAGTTTTGTTCTGATATAACCGATTTCCAGTTGAATATTGCGACGTTTCGTTCCATATTTGGAGTTTCGAGAAGGATCCGGATCCGATTAAAAGGATCTCTTTAAAAATGGTAACTGCTTAAGAGCGATACTTGTTAGACGATTCGCAAACATCATTCTTTAACCTCTTAAAACATCATTAATGTCGTCCTACCTGAGCGAGTTGAGAATAAAACGGACAAGACATGCGAGTAATGTGGAAGTTTTAAGTCGAATACAAACTACAAGGTAAATGCTGTTAATAAGCACAAAGAGACAACTGATATTTCTAAGGTATAAATGAGGAAAGAATGTTTGCAGAATTCAATATTCACAAGGCATTTTGAAGTCAGGAGAGCCAAGGTGAAAAAACGAGTTCCCCTCTTGAGGGGTTGCATAAATGAGTATGTCAGAATAAGGACAAAAATGGGTCGTAAAGTAGCAACATCTATCTAGAGATGGAAAAAAGGAAGTAGTGGAGAATAATGATTCAGAAATGTCATATGTTTTCCTTTCCTTATTTCTTTTTACTAAATTCCAGGTGCAACGCTAAGGTGCCACTTAATGAAGAGGGTTATAGTTAAAATGGTAATAATGAATGATGTCTGGGATATATATGTATGAAAAGACTACAAGGATAAGGAGGATAGATAACGATTGACGTTTGAAGCGAAAAGGTTAAGATTGTAGTGCTTAGGGAAACATCCACGCGGGAGTTTGTTCCTCTTAGTTGCAGTTCTTGGGAAAAAAGGAGATTTCCTCTTACATTTCAAACACGGTGATAATAAGGGTGATTCGACACTGGGGAAATGGAAATGACCTATCTGTAAAGGCTTGTATTGGTGGATATATGTTGTAACCTAGGGAAGGTTACTGAATAGAATAATCAATCGAAGGT